ACATACGCAGCAAATCATATGCCTCCGGTGATGCATCACAGAAGAGAAACCTCTCACCGGCCTTGTTCTCACAAAAGGCTTCCGGGGGAAGGTAATTGTCCCCAAGCCGAAAAGATCAGCTGAAAGGTTCCTCCATCTGGATGAAAATTCCTCCGGAATCGGATCATCCCATCCTAAGCCCTTCTTCCATAGATCACTCAACAGGATACGATCTCGCAATGTGACAGGCAAGTGACAGACAAAGGGTCAAAGACTCGATGCTTCCGCGAACTTGTGGGAGCAATATGTCAGTGAGAGGATTATAACGATATCCAAGCATTATTTACATTATCAGTTATCTCCTGTTCATTTCCCTCTGAAAGTTCTCCACTGCCTTAACCGGGTATTGAACTCACACTCTTTGGGTCCCGTCACTGGATCTAACTAATGCCTTTATCCACTGTGCCATGTGTCCTTCAGAACACATGGCACAGTGGAGAACTTTCAGAGGGAAATTAACTGATAACTGACATCCATCAAACATGGCACGTGGAACTAGAACAGTCTACCCCAGTGAGCGAAATAAAGGGTTCGGTTCGACATTCCAACCACCTGAAGAAGGCTGGAGCGTACAACGGCCGAAACGTTGTGATAGATATGGCGAAAAAGATGAGGACAATAGTCCGAATAATGTAAATAATGTACATAATACCTCATCTCAGAAATATAGACAGACTCTGATATCCAAGCACTTTCTCCCAATCAACCCTATGACTGCTCAGGATACCGTCAGTCTTCATTTTGTCCCGAAACCTCACACAGAGCTGCAAGACTGCAGCTCAAACTCTCCCAGTTGCAATCGTTCCCTGGAAATTGCATCTGGATTATCACTGGTCATCACCATATTGTCCACGTAGAACCGATTCTCCATCATACGTCTACAATGATCCAAAGGAAATTGAGCAGCATGGTGGCAGAGAACGCAACTCAGTATGAAGGGGCTAGACGTGAATCCGAATACAAATGTGGTATACCTGAAACAACGCAGACTACCGTTGTCTTTCAGGAAGAAACAGAACCTGTTCTTATCGGTCACCAGCTACAAGTAGATCATTAAGAAGGCCTTCCTGATATTCGCCAACAAAATGTGATTGTTTGCTCGAAAGGATAGCAGTAATTCCAACAGGTCACTCGTAAGGTTCACTCCCTGGTAGGCAGCCGTTCTCTTAGGGATGAGTCCGAGGCCAGTCTGTCCCTGACTACTACCGAGAGTGCCTCCTCCGTGGGTACCTTGGTGAACAAACTCACTACGTTCAGGCTCACCATCTGGTTGGATTGGATGGGGGCATCTTTGATTATTTCCAAGAAGTTCTGGAGATACAATGGTGACTTTTCTATGAATGGGTTGATTACATCTACTAGGAAGCGACTCAGAGGGTGGCACACAGAGCCTTGGCAGCTAACAATCGGCCTGAGCGGAATACCGTCTTTGTGAATTGTTGGGAGGCCGTATATGTGGGGTAGCTTGGTGTAACGCTGTGGCAACTACTTGAATGTCTTAGATGCGAAGAGGTCCTTGTTCTTTATTAGGATCTGTGACATTTTGCGTTCCGTTTTCATTGTCGGATCTTTCTTTACTGTAGCTACCATTCGAAATGAGGTCTTCCAGTTTTTCTCTATATGCCATTTTGTCCATCACTGTAGTTGCATTGCCTTTGTCATCTAGCAGTATGGTGATGTTTTCATTCCTCTGTAGGGTTCTGATTGCCAGCCTCTCCATTTTCGTGATGTTTGATTTAGGCGGCTTAGCTTTCTCCAGTATCTGTATCACTTTCCATCTTAGCTCATCCCTCTGAGCCTGAGGGAAGTTCAAGGCTATTTCCTCGATTCGACCAATGATGTCCAGGTATGGTATGCATCCGATGGTTGTGTTGATTGATGTTGATTACTGCCTTCACTGATGAGTGATGTACCTTGTGTGTCACCTTCTGATCTTTCAATCTACTTAATTTTTGCACTTGGCGGGCCTTGACAGCGTCGAATTAATGTCTGAAGGATTTATCCATGTTGTGATGGCTCCTTTTTCGGTTTTCGTTGGTAATTCTGTCGAAGAAGGCCTCAAGCCTCTGGAAGATATCAGATTGTAGTTTCTGTTTTATCCAACGGTTGTACTGGATTCTCTCTCGGGCAAAGACGTGTCCCGCTTTCTCTGCGACCAGAGAAGCTCTCCTTGAATTGCCAGGAAGTCTTGGTGAAGGGATGAGCCGTAAGTCTCTGCATCGGTGTGACTTTTCTAGTTGTCTCCATATTTTTGGTATATCGAGTCCGTACCGAGATAGAGACAGATATTGTTTGTGAAAGTTTGTCACCAAATTAGAGGTATTAACCGTGCTTTTGAACTTTTCATGAAAATATTAGATTTAAATGATTTTTGAACATCAGTTTATGAAACTGAACTATTGCTTAACAGAAACCCAACAACGTTTGTGAACTCCCATCTTTCTCAACTCCTTTCGAAGTAATTGAGCATTTTGTTATAATAATTATAATTGTTTTATAAGCCCAAAAGAATTGTAATTAGAACTTATATTACCTAATTGTGTGGCGCACAAAGTAAATTTTTGTACAAGCTTGTTTTGTAAATGTTATATTCTGTGTAATTATTATTTTTTATGTCGTTTAATAAACGTAAATTCCTTTCAAATTCCACACCGGATTAAGACTTTTGCGTTTTTTTTCGTTTGCGTCATTCCTAATACTCTGGATAAGAGATTTGACCTTCTCTCTTCTCCTCCTCTCCCAACATTTGTTTTTACCCAGAGTGGCCCCTACCCACTTTGTGACTCCTGAATGGTCACTCTTTCCGAAAATATCGGTGGCCTATTGTGTCATTAGGGACATCACCTATTCAAAAAATATACATCGTTTTGAGTAGATATCTCCATAAAAATATATATAACTAAGTTTAAAATATATTTAAAAAAATGAAAAACCTTTCTTAAAGCCTTAATTTTAGTTTTAATTCCAAGGTAATAGATTAAATTTCCCATAAGCAAAATACTTTGGTTTTAATAGCTGCGCTATACAAGAAATGAATACTCTCCCAGTTTGCATTTCTTCCATTATAGGCATTATTATATCAAACATATAATACCAATCTTATTTCACAGACGCAACGGAATAGCTGGAAGAAAAGGAATGCCGTTGTCATACATAAAATTATATATACATATTTACATATGTCCCACACAGAGAAACTCTAACATCTATGCAACAAGAAGCAGTGAAAAGATGATAAAAAGGACACACTTTTTTTCTTCTTTTTTTTTTTTTTGCTTATTTCGCAAACTGGAAACGGCGAGTCCTGTTTTTTTTCCAACATGAGGACTGTGAGCCGGAGATATTTTCTATATCTGGTGAAGATATATTTCCATGGGACAACAGCAACATGGCAGGGGGGTGCAGATTTACCCTCACCACAGGCCGAGAGGTTTGACTCCTGGAAGCTGAGTGACTGACCGCTTTCGTCACACCATGAAGTGACGACACTAAGCGGCCGTTACGTGACTTCATCTTGACCAAAGGGAGATAATCGCCTTTTGTACCCCACACTGTATATCAAACCAAATTTAAATTGATTGGAGTCTTTTGTTTCCTACTTATCAATAAAATCTATAAATTCGTACATATTGACAGATTTGTCAGCACAAAATAATTCTCTTTATTTTTTTAATTTTTCAAAAATAAAATGTAATTTTCTGAAACGTTATTTAACGATAATTAACTGATTAGAATCTTCATTGAAACAATTAACTAATAATTAACTGATAATTAACTAATAAATCTTCATTGAAACAAATAATATTTATTTTTAATTTCAAATATCGCAGAAAAGCTTCTTAAAAAAACAAAAAAAAACACAGAATAGTGTTTTTCTTGTGTTGTGTGATATAGACATGCTTGATGGTTGACAAAATATTGACAGGCAGAAGTGAAAGAAATCATTTAGACATCTTTTTATTATTTTATATACGTTTTTTAACTACCCAGGAATCATAAAAATGTAAGAAAATATTTTATTTTAAGAAAGCAATCAAATATTTCATTGAATTTTAGGTACTTTACGAAGACCGCCTTCGGAAGATGCTTGCTGAGACCGCTTTTATTTTCTAATAATGTCGTGTATGGACATCCGTATTTACAAAAATCGACAAACATGCAAATCAAAATTCTTTTTTAAAATACTGGGGTGGGGTAGCTGAAATGAGCTTTTTACTCTTGGCCATTTATAAATAGTAGAGTTTTACTTTTAGTTTTAACTTTCAATTTAATAACAATATCACTTGATCACTATAAGTTAATTAATTAATAAAATACAGGATTTTAAAAGATTATGTTTTTTAAATCTAATTAAAAAAAACTGAAAATTCTTGTGAAAATTCATCGATTTTTTTTTTAAAAAAGAAATTAATGGCCCAGTCTTAGTCTCTTATTTTTTATTTTACAAGTGAAGTCATGACAGATTTTATTTTTCTATAACTGGGGATCCTGTTTAGTTTGTTGAGTCAAATTGTTTGACCTATTTAAAATGTTCGAGGGCTTTGACGAACTTACAAAAACCGGAATCATTATATATTTTTTTTATTAAAATTCATTTGTTAAAAAGCTAAAGCGATGCATAATTAGAAGTTTGTGAAAGTAATAATTTTTATTAATATTAGTGGTGGTAGTAGTAAACATGCCAAACTTACTTGCCGGCAAGGAAGCTTATGGATATTTATTTATAATATTGATTTCTCTCAAATATGTGGTGCAGTTCAATTTATATTACAACGAATCATTCATACAAAAAGTATATTAGTAAAGTTAATCATATAAAATGGCGAAAAAAACTTTCGCCATTTTATATCATTAACTTTACTACATTATCCAATCAGAATCAAGGATTATGTATTAGATGTATTTGTCTGACTAATCATAAAACGTGTTACATCTGAAAACTAACATTTACCAGCCAATCAATGCTAGCCTCACGAAATTTAAACAGGCAACTATATCGCCTTTTCAACGAGCTGATACTTAACATTCTGTTCGTGCTTGCGGATATCGGTGCAGTAGAAAAAAAAGGGTAAGTTTTCAATCGCTAGTTTAACGAATTAAACTAATAAGTGTTTTTGTGAAAATAGACTGTCTCTTGTACTTGATTATATGACATATTTTCTCAGTTATTGTATATAGATTGTGTAATTTAAAAATTTTTGAACTGATATGATACTGTGACTATTGCAGTCTTTTATTTGCATATTTCTTTTAAAACTTTAAAAAAAAAATTTGAAGTACTGCGTAAAGTAACTTAGTTTAATTATTAAATTTTTTTAAGTTATTTTTCTAATTTCTGATTAAATTAGACTTTGAACTGAATATGTTAGTGTATTTTCTCTCAGTCTTGTTGCTTTTTTTAGCGTTTCTTTTTTGTATTCCGGACAAATTTACTAAAACTTGGTAGGTGTTCTAAAGAAACTAGCTATTATTTTTCTTGTTTCCATGTGGTAGTAATAATAATCAGTAGTTAAATGGATAAGTGTACAAATTCTAGTTTCTAAAACTAGATGTTATCTCCGTCAATCCGAAAAATATCTTACAATTTACAAATTTAATTCCCTCTGTCCACCTGAGTGAGTGCAGTTAAATAATTGTTTTTATTACTGCATAGCGAAATCTCGAATTTTAACGAAAATCAAAAGACAAAAAAAAACACAATCGGTAAAATTGAGATTAGGACTTTGTGTGTGAATATTTATTTTTATATATATATATATATATATTATATAAGGCCAAGGGTATTGACAATGTTATTTGCTCCCCCCCCCCTCCAATAAGGTTACCATGAACTGAACATGTGACCAACGAGAGAATGCAAACAAAGAGGAGACTTACACATAAACGCCAGGAAGAGGCAGCTGAAATTTCTAGGACACGTAATGAGAAATGAAGGCTTGGAAAATCTGATGCTCACAAGGCGAATAGAGGGACATAGAAAAACAATGCGTGACTGACTTAAGCAAGTGGATGGCAGCTAACAGGGTCTGGGACAAGTAGCAAAACTACAAAACTTGATGGAACTTGATACATAAAAGAAGAAATGGGTAAACTTACGCGTAGTAATCTAGTCCCGTACGGGCGCCACGCTCTACCCAAGTAAGATTCTTTGTGCAATAATTTTAAATTTCTTGGATCTGTCGATTTAAAACGATTTTACATACCAAACATTGATTTATCTCCCTTACACTGAACAAACCTTTTTTTTGTTTGAAATATTTTCAAATATTTCATATCATTTTAGATGGTGGAAGTCATTAATTCAAAGAGGAAAGAAAACAAAAAACTATCGTTCGAAATGTAACGTTCATGACTTACCAAGTTATATGTTGAGGCAAGATTGATTATGTCCAGTCCCAGGTCTCCCCCAGGCAATAGCTATTCCGAGATGTCTGTAAAAAAACCTTTTTTAAAAAAAAGGAAATGCCAACGCGACAGTCGTATTTTTCTGCTTTGGTACGCGTGTATTCCGTCTTTTTTTTTTTTTTTTTTTTGTGCCACGTTACATTCGAGTAAATAACCCTTATCCGAAAAAGTGGTCCTGCTGGGAATATTGTGACGCATGTGATGATACCACCATTACGGGCGAAGTCATTTTTGTCTTTTTTTTTTTTTTTATAAAGATCGACAACGTTGGCGAATTTATTCATTTTTTTTTTTCTCAACACAGACACACAGGGATATTTATAATATTATAATAAACGAACTAAATTCGACTATAGCCTTTACAAGGTAAAGTAATATCACCTTTTCGTCAAATGGTCGTGGAGTTTCTGTTTATGGTATGATCACGAAAACATTTTTTACAAAGTTTTCAAAGCTTGTTTTGAATGTGAACGTTAAACTCTCAATGCCTGAAATTTTGGTCACTAGACAGGGCTAGGCAGTTTCTTGCAGCACTTTTTTTTTTTTTTTTTTTTTTTTTTTTCAGATTTACAAAAGTTAAAAAATAAGATTATAATTATTCTTGTTTCCATCCTCCTCTTAAAAAAAAAAAAATGAAGACGCAAAGAAAGGGTGGGTGACGAAATGTTTGAGCTTCTGATTTTTATTAATGACTGAAAACACTGGTTTTGCGAGTCGCAAATAAGAATCTCATTCGTTAAAATCTTTTATTTCTTTCTGTCTATCTGTGCCCGAAAACTAAGCTTCTTGGTCCTCATGAAAAGAGGTGCCTCCAAAGATTCGATGAGTGTAAGTCCCAAACTTGAATTTAACAGCTCAAACAAGTTTTTTTTTTTTTTTTTTTTTTCTCTCGAAATTGTTTCTACGGTGTAAAAACATTGTACCATACATTCTTGTAAAAACAAAACAAAAACAAACGTTGAATTTTAATGAAACTTCACCACAAATATGTAGTTAGATTTTTAATTTAAAAAAAATGTTTCATTTAGACTAGAGGATCTTTGTTTAGCCTTCACTCACTTATTTCATATATGAAATGCAGAGAGTTTGTAGCGCCCTCAGAAAATCATTTTCAAAATAAATTTTTGTTAGGTGTGTAAAAAAAAAAAAAAAAAAAGTTTTGTTTTTTTGCTTGTTTCTTTCTTTCTGACGGGAATGCTTTACAGTTTGATTTCGTAAACAATAAACATAGTTTTCGTTTAATAACAATAACCGGATTGAAGTAATGCAGAATTTTAAAACGATTTATATAATTAGTTAAAAAAAAAAAAAATGAAAACGATAGTATCCTTAAAAAAGCTTACTTGAAAGCTATTCTAATTAAATAATGTCATAGTTGTATTGCATTTTTTATTTTATGATTCAGAGTAGATTGTTGGTAACTGGGTGTCTTGTTTTACAAAAAAAAAACTATTTAAAAATTTTAAATTCTCCAAGAAGTCCTATGCATTTTTAAACAAATTTTGAAATTTAACTTCTCAATTTCATTAAGCTGGTAATGGCAGGGGTAAATATAAAAAAAAATCATTTGTGAATAAGTCCTGAAAGTTTCATTAAAATCTGAAAAGATTGCTACAACTGCTGATGCAAGAAAAACTTTTTTTTTTTAATTAAATTTCGAATGTTCTAAAGAGTAAAAATTTAATTAATCAAAAAATACTTTGATCCCTGCACTTAATTTTTTTTTCTCTCACTCACACACACAACTGTGAATTGATTAAGCATCTCACTTTGCAGGGTTTTCTTTCTTGGTCAACTGATGTAATGGTTATTGCTGAAAAAAATCTATTAAGATGGTGAAGCTCTGGTTGTTGCTTCAGATCTCTTGCAGGCGTTTGACAGGGTTTAGCATGCTGGTCTTTGGTAATGGCATTTCTAGATTCATTTTTGATCTGATTCAATCTTATCATGAAAGAGAAGATATCTTGAATAGCTACCCTTGTAGATCATTTTGCATTAATGCAGGAACCCCCTCAGGGCTGTATCATTGGACCTATGTTGTGTTCCTGATGTTCATCAATGACATTTCCAATGTCATCAGTTTTCAACTCTGTATCTGTTCTGATGACAATTATTTACTTCTGTTTTATACCTCCATGAAATCGCTAATAAAAAGAGCATAGCCTGATGAAAAAGATGCCAAACTTTATGAAAACAATTTTATCGTCTGAATGCTTATGTTTTTATGAAGGGGAAATACCAAAGTTTTTTATTATTTTTTAAATTTTTTCGTTTTTAGAACATTCTAAATTATTTTTTTTTTTTTTAAATTTTCTCTTTGTACCAACCGGGACTAGTAAATAAGACAATTTTTTTTTTTTTTTTTTTTTTTTTTTTCTTTTCTTATTACACACATTAATTTGGAAAATCTTGCAAAAATAATTGTCTGATGTTAATGAAACTTTCAGAAACTATTCACTGATGATCGAAATTATTATAAATGTTTTTTTTTTGTTTTTTTATTAGTCATGGGCTCATGGCAAATGTTTTGTTTATATTTAACACCCCCATAACTAATTTTATGAAAAACTCTAGAAATTCGAGCGCATCAACTTTCGTGATTACAATAGGCTTTGAAGAATGCAAATTTTTTTTTTTTTTTGGATCCACAGTACCTGAAAATCAGCTCTGAATTGTAACATGCAAAACTCAAAACAAAGATACTATTTAATTTCAAATGCTTTTATGTTTTTAGTTTTTATGAATATGAACAATATTTTCTGAAAGCAAAAAAATTTTTCAATGGAGATTGAATTTTTAATACAATTATTTCATTCTTTAATGATAATAGATTTTTACATTATATTTTTTAAAAATATAAAATTAGTTAAAAGCCACATCAACTTTTCTAAAGTTTCCTTATGAGATTGTCATTGTGTAGCGCTTTGAAAATTGTATCATTTGGACCAATCAGAAGATCCGCAGTAATTAAATGTAATTTTGTGTTTATAATCGGGCGGTAATTATAAAGTACGGAAGATCAACCAGAATACAATTAAGTTGCATTATTTGAGTTCAGCATTGTTCTCCGCTGTTAAGGCCTTTACTTTTGCAAAACACGTATGGAGAAGGGTACCTATAAGTATCAGTATCATCTTACGAAATTTAACTACTGCTAAACTTTGCTTTATATGATCGTTTATATTAATCTCAGTTATATTTTTCCATAAATGAAATATCAAAATTAATAATAAAATGAATGGCAATACAAATAACACAAAAATGTAATAAATGTACATAAAATTATAGTATTTTAAGTACACTTCTGATAAAATTTCATAAGAAAGGTACCTATAAATTAGATACCTTTCTTATGAAATTTAATCTCACTCTTAAGTCTTATTTTTTAATTTCTTTATATTTTTTCCATAAAGCAACATAAAGATGAAAGCTAAGTACAAAAAAAAAAAATTAAATTAAAAAATTAGTGCTGAAAGTTTTCCTTAAAAGTAACGAGGTAAATAACTTGTTCACTTAAATCTAAATAATTTCACTTCCTTCCATCCGTAGAAAGAATTATCCTCCCATAAGTTTTCTAAATGTCATGAAAATGTCATTCGTCACCTGTCAAATGACGCGAAAGGCTGTTTTATTTTCAAATTACATTTTTTCGGTGCAGAAGCTAAGTTAAGCTTGGTTCAAAATATTTTAAATAAACAATTTCTGATTCTATTAAAGTTTTGAAACGTGCTAGGAACGATAAAAAATGTAAAAATACTTTGATACTCTTTAATAATATGAACATTAGATGATAAAACTTTGTTTACGTCAAGTTCGGCGTCTTTTTCATCATGCTATGCTCTTTTTGTTTACATTTCGTAGAGGTACCTATGTTTTTAAAGTCTGTAAGTCTGATATGGTCAAATTAGCAGCTGATCTAAAAGATCTGTTAACTGGGGCAAGAAATGACTTGTTAATTTTAATGGCACCAAAATGAAACTGTTCTCTTTTAATCTCAAAACCTTTTTGCCTTTCATCAGCATGGCTGATGCTGTTCTCCAAGAGAATGACTCATTGTGCCTTCTCTGGTTAACATTTTTCCGCTGACCTGAAGTGAAATCTTATATTGAATTTCTAGATCTGCTTCTGCTGGGAAAGTTGGTTCAATATGTTGTGCTAGATTATTTTTCTCACCAGAATCTTACATGTGTCTACCATTTCTTCATGTATTGTATATAGCTGCCACATCTTGTATATTTCTATGTATTTAGAGATTCCTGATTAAATCGATGCAATGTTATTAGTACTTAACCTGGCATCCACTGTATTGTAGCTTCCCTCTCTTTACTCTGTAAATATTTTTATGGTAATTGTTCTCTTTGATACCTAGACTTAACTTAAGTTCAGCTAGGTCTCATCATTTTACCTTTTAAATTGCTTGATCTAACAATAAGTTCTATGCTAACAGTTTTTTCTCTTGCATTTTTCTCAAGATTCTTGCTTTCCAGTCAACTTTGATCTTCAAAAATTTAAGTGCAATGTTGGTCATTCTCAATTCCTGTTCTATTTCTCTATCAGTTTTTTTCTCATTCTTTCACACTCGGTAACCTCTTGTCTTGTTTGTTTGGGGTGAAATGATTAAAAAACAAACAAGTGAAGTCTGAAATGCTACCAGAACTTTTTTTTTTAGTTGGTGGGTGATGTACTTAGAATATGTTGGTATGTAAAGCAACATAACCAAAGTTAGTATACGGAAAAAATGTTTTTGACATTAAAATAGATTTTTAGTTACTCTGAGTTCACCATCATTATCATTTTTTTTTTTTTTTTTTTTAACATTCCTTATATTATCTACTTTTGAAGATCCGGTAACTTCTGTGATGGAGGATTCTAGAGTGTTAAAACAGAACACTATCTTACCTCTTCGGGAAATAAAACTGGATGCCAAGAAAACAACTCTTCAAACAGCTAATGATACTGAAAACAAACCTCCAAACTCTGTGACTAGCACTGCAGAGGGGGATGCAGCTGGAACACAAAAGCCAAAGTAAGTGTGCTTTGTTTTCTTTTGTCTTTTATAAAGTAGACAAACTGGGTCATTCTAAATTTGATTAAGAATAAGATTCAATTTTCGTTCAGTTTTTAAAAATAGTTGCAATTATTAGTAAGCAAAACTGAGTTGTAGTAGCTGCATTTGGTTGTCTTGAAGTTTATCAGGAACAAAAGTTTGATTCTTATTGTTGGCATCATAATGTCACCTGACTAAAAGTGGCAGCAACAACTAGTATAACCTTCCACACTGTTAAGGACTTTTAATAAACAAATTTGTTCTTGATTGTCTTCAAATGTTAAATCACTTGAAATTTTTTTTTTTTTTTTTTTTTTTTTTTTTTTTGAAAAAATGTTTTAGTTTATAAGTATTTCAAACTAGAATTTATTTTAAATATATCTAAAAACATTTCATAGATCCAAAGAGCTTGACAAAACAAAATGCTACCAATTTTTTTTCTTTATAGCTAAGCAGCCATGTTATGACCATTCAAAGTTGGTTTGCACTCTATTACTGTTTAGGAGCTATGGACTGTAAGTTCAACTTCTTTCGTGTTGTCAAGAAAATGCCTGCTATTACTTTTTTTTTTTTTTTTTTTTTTTTTTTTTAAACATACCACGATGAAAAAGGGCCCCAAACTTGATATTAAGTTTTGTCAGAAACTTAATAGGAAAGGCCATTATTAATTATTTTTTTTAATCCTTTCTAGCATGACCAAAAGTTTGAAAAATCTTGATTCTTTTCCCATCATAGGTGTGCCAAAGGTTGGCAAAAGTCAAATTGTTTGATTTTAATGAAATTTTTAGGACTTCTTAAATAAATGAAATTTTTGGAACTTAGATTTTCGATTAAGTAAAAACTATATTTACTAATCATAAATGGAAAAGCTTGGTACAAATCATCAAACATCGATATTTTTAAAAAAATTTCGAATTTCCTTGTAGAAACGTGCCCATTTTTGTATATACAGTTGATCAAGCACATTATCAGAAAATAGTTAACTACAGTAAATTTAAAGCCTGAAAGTAGTTTTTGAAATACAGTAAAGTATTTTGTTTATTGGAATAATTAAATTTAACTTTTTAGCTTTCAATTAAAACTGAAATAAAAACTTCAAGAAAGACTTTTTTTTTTTTTTTTTTTTTTTTTTTTTTTCATTTTTAAAAATTAATTTTAAATTTTGGGTATTGTTTTTTTGTGAAGGTACCTAGACTGTTCATTTCATGCAAAACAATTGTCTGATTCATCAGAATTTGTATTGCTGACTAAGTGAAAAAACATCAGCTGAATCCCATTTTAAATTGTTTTATTGACAGATATTACAGTTTAAATCTTATTTTCTTTTAATGATGCATTTTTAAACTAACAACTATTTTTAAAATAAATTCTAGCTGACAATTTGGGCAATAATTATCCAAACTATCAACTGCTGTTGTCTCAGATATTCTAATTTTCTTACAAAAAAAATAGCTGAAATAAGACAGTAAAAAAAAAAAACTTATCCTATTTTTAGTTCTTTAAATTTTGTCCCTTCGCATTTGTCTGTAAAAATTAAAATTTTTAATGGACATTTATAAATTATTGCTATGAATTTAATGAAAACACATTTTGAATAATTTGTCTTTTTGAAGTTTACTTGAAAGCTAACATCCTAAAGCTTTTTTTTTTTTTTTTTTAAATCCATTTAAATAAGTAGATACCTCCACTAAGTTTCGATCCCTAATGTTTAAAATGAATTTTTGTAAATGAAAAAGCTTTCATTTTAGCTTTAATTGAAAGCTAAATTAAATTTAAAGATAGATTAAATTTACTATTTCCAGTAAGCAAAATGATTTCAAACAGAAATTATATTGATTGGAATTTATTTTTTTTCCTAAAATAGCTGATTTGTGCTTTTTTTTTTTTTTTTTTTTTTCTCTTCATCTCTATGTAATTCTCTGCATTAAATCTTCCCAAAATAAAAATAAATATACTTGGCTGAAACTTTATTTGAGGAATATTATCCAATTTTAAAGTAAAATCAATCTGATTTGAAAAAAATACTTTTAAGTTTAAAATAACACAAATGTTTTTTGTTTTTGTGTTTGTTTGTTTTTTTTTTTTTTTTTTTTTTTTTTTTGTTTAAAAAAACAAACATTAGCAGTGATTTTTCAACCAACAGCAGCTAGTCTTGCGTAACTGATGCACAATGGCAAGTGCTGATAAGGTGTTGAAATGTGTATTGCTCTATGGAAACTTTATCTGTTAAACCATAACTTAACAAAATGATGGAGTGCCTTATATTGGGTTGGCAGCTAAGTTACTGTTTTCTTTTGGTTTTTTTTTTTTTTTTTTTTTTTTTTTTCTCTCTCTCTCTAAGGTTTAACTAATATGTTCTCCCTTGTTTATAACATTTTCCCATCGTTCAAGATTTTCAATACCTTGCTGGTAGAAATCACCCTGTTTACTCAAAAAAAATTATCCAACTAAGCTCCCAATTCTGAATGAAACTCTCTGCACATAGCATTTGAAAGAGATCCAAAGAGGTAGAAAACTATTTGTGCCCAATTGGGAGAGTACAGCAGGTGTGGCTGCACTTCTTGAATGGCTTCCTTGGTCATGTTGGCAATATGAGGGCAGACATTGTCATGCAGCAAAAGAAATCCATGCTGCCAATTGCGCAACATTGCTTTACATGGATGAATATCTTGTTTATGTGCAGTGTCACTTGTTTACCAGGGCTAAGCTATTCCTTGCACTGCTTCATATTGATGTATAGGCACCGTTTTTCATTGCCAGTACCAATTCGGTAAAGAAATCATTGCTTGTATCCATGAGTTGAACATTGACAAGCAAACAAACCAGCAGAGATTGTGGCTTGTTTATTTTTGTTGTCACTTAAAGCATACAGAACCCATGCTCTGCACTTCTGAACCTTTTTCCATCAAGTGAAGATGCTTCTCCATAGCAGTACGGGAGCATTCCATTTTCTCTGCCAGTTCCCTTGTTGCTTAACAAGAATTTTTGAGCAAAAGTTGGTTTAAGGCTAGAATGAGGTGTCTTTGAGGTCAAAATTTCCATTTTTGAACTTTGCATACCAATCATGAGCAGTTCTTTCAACTATAGCATCCTCTCCATACATGGCACAAATGTCGGGAGCAGCTTTTGTGACCTTAGAACCTTGATTTAAGTGTTGCAAAGGCTCATTTTCTTTGACATTGCATTTCTGTTGTGACCATTTTTGTTGGTTTAAGAAATAACAAAACAAGTGTTGCAGATATCATATATTAAACAGTAAGTACCACAGAAGAGTATTACACAGCTAGTTAGTGTCAGTTGACTCAGTGTTCAAAAGGCTAAGTTGGTATAAATCCCAGGCAAGAAACTCTGCCCTAATTGTCGAATACAAATCCACAATCTACTTCCCGATGAAGAACCAAGACATGTATCAGATGAGGAAATGAGAAATCTTGATACAAGTACTTCTGCAGAAACAGAAGAGAAATATCAATGAATGTTTCTCTTATATTGGAATTTCTGCACTGAAAGCAAAAGGGCTTCATTACTCAGGAAAAGCTACTTTAGGTAAGAAAATTTTTTTTCTGCAATGTGTAAAGACCAAAGTAGACAAGTCATTAAAGGTTGACTGAGCTGTTGAATGGTGAGGCTTTAAAAATTAAAAAGGAGATTTTATATAAAGCTAAGTGCTTTGATAAAATGATAGAGCTCCTTGTAGCAAAAGTGAAGACAGTGGAATCAACTAAAATCAAAATACAGACCTTGACACTTGCCCCTAACAACTGATCACACAAAAATGTCATGGATGTTTCGTGTTTCAGAACATATTGTATGCAGGGCTTGCAAATTGTTTGGAAAGAGGTATTTTAGCTGCGCCAGAACCAAAAAGGGACAAGTCTTTGCCTGCTGCTATTGTGCAGTTAGTGGAAGCATTTTACCAAGATGATGAATATACTCAACTGATGCCATGCAGGAAAGACTACGTTAGTATTAAATGTATTATTCATCAGCAGAAAAGACTCATCTTGTGCAACCTGAATGAGCTCTTCAGAGTATTCAAGGAACAGAACCCAACAGTACCTTTGGGATTTTCAAAATTTTGTAGTCTAATGCACTATCCACCAAAATGAAATTATTACTGGAACCACTAAATGTATCGTAAATATATTGTCTGTAATAGCAGTAGCAGTGTATAATTCATAGGTGCCCAAATTGTCCTAAATCATCAGGGCAGCTCGAAAAATTTCTTAGACACCATGGAATGATATATTGATAATGTTGAATCAATAGTTCTCCAAATGAACAACTCAGTGGATCGTTTTTTGTTTTTTTGTTTTTTTCTTAAAAAAAAAAAAATAGCAGCGATAAGGAAAAATTAAGCCAAATTGACTCTGATATATTTGGGTCAAAGGCCAGCTAGCTAGCAATAAAACGTCAACACTGGGATCAGCAATAAACTTTTCTTTCAAACTTACACTTGAAAAATAGCTTGATGTGTTTTGTTTTTTTTTTTAAGATTTGGGTTGATGACAACACTCAGCAAATAACATTTCTTTTTTTTCGCCACGTCTTTCATATGACAAAAAATAAAACGAGCGTTTTAAACAGTTGTATTGCGCTGTTTTCATGTCTTAAATTGAATATAAAATAGTAAAAAGAGAAATTTGCAGTTTGTCTCACACTGAAAAAGGAAAAATTGTTTAAATTTTAAAATTGAAAAGAATTTTGAAAATGCGACAATATTCAGCCAGAAAACAAGCATTGTTGCTAACTGAATAAATGCAAAGCAATTTCTGAGGTAAAAACAACTTGCTTCTTTCAAGGGAAACAACTCGCGTGACACTTCAAAGCTGTGCATCCATACTTTTGGAGACGATTTTAAATACAATTTTGGAATGTTAAAAAATTATTTTAAAAATGTGCACGGTTGTCAGATTTTAATAAGCTTTCAAATTCATCTTTAAAAAGTAGTGAACATAATATATCATTTCCATAAGGTT